TATATATATATATATATATATATATATATATATATATATATATATATATATATATATATATATATATATATATATATATATATATATATATATATATATATATATATATATATATATATATATATATATATATATATATATATATATATATATATATATATATATATATATATATATATATATATATATATATATATATATATATATATATATATATATATATATATATATATATATATATATATATATATATATATATATATATATATATACTAGAACGAGGTTTTCACTGATGCAAATTTCAGTGCTAATTGTTGTCTATTTTGCATTAATTAATTTTTTAATGATATATAATGATAGACTCAACAACACGCAATTAATCAAAATTGTAGAATGGTAGTTTGTTATCAGTTAATTTTTCTGTGCATCAAAAATTCTGAATACATCAAAATGACTACAACAACATAAACGAGGAGACTCGCTATGCATAAGCAAAATGGAACAATAAAAGACTACCTAATGGAACAACACAACACTATTATAACAAGGGATATTTTAGACAATAACACCAAAGCAATTTATTACAACAGAGAATACTTCAAATTGAAGAGAGCATAATCAATTTTCATCGATAAACGTAAACCAGCAATTTACATTCAACTAAAAAATACCAATATTCTTCCAACAAAGAAACACATGATTAACTTTAATTCTAATTAAGTTACAATCAAAGTCGATGTAAAAACAAAGACACAAAGACGGAATAATACTATATAACTACACTGATGATGGCAGTTGATGCCGAAAAGAGCTTTTCTGTAGAAATAATGTTATTAATAATGTTTCGACAAAAATGTCAAATATTAAAAGTTTTTTATTTAACTTTAAAAAACTTCATCAAGATGATAAAAGTCTCGTAAGAAAAATTGAGAAACTCAACTACAGGTTGAATAATGCTGAAAACGCAGTGATCTTTATAAATAATTGTATATATGTATATAAATATTATATATATATATCTATATATATATACATATTTATATTTATATATATATATATATATGAAATTAAATACAATTGCTCATTTTATGTTTATTGACTTTTTGGAAGGTAACACAACACGACGATGCTGATGTAATTAATATTTTTTGTTAATTAGTGTCATTCTTTGGCTAATAACATTGTTTCGGATTGAATTCTAATTTAAAAATTGTTTTTTAGGATTTATAATTTTTTTTTCGCATGTTTATTTCTTTATTATTCACTTGGTTTTAGTAACTTTTTTATAATTCCCTAATTCTGGGTTCTGAAAGATAGCAATACTGCCGAAACTACGTTGTTAGCCTAATTTGACACTAAATACTAAAAAAAAAATATAAATTACAACAGCTTCATCGGTTTAGATTGTTAAATATTAATTAATAAACTTAAAATAAGCAATTATATTTAATGACATCTGTATCAACAAAAACCTAGTCCAATATGTAAAATAAATAAATATATATTTATTTATTTATCTTTAAATCACATTTTAACAAATACAGTGAAACAAAAAGCTGTCCAACCCAGTGTTACATCGACATCATACCCTTTTCAAAATCCATTTGAAAATGCTAGTCCGAAGTTCGTGAAGAGAATATCAGAAATGATGACACTAGAGAGTGAAACTAAAAGATGGGAGGAAAGCGTAATAAAAGGAAAACGAAAATTGGCAGCTACATAACTTTTTTATTTTTCTACGTAGTAATAAACAAAACTTAAAAAAAAACAAAATATCATTTACTATACACGCCACAATTTGAATATATCGTTTTTTAGTTATATTAGTAATGAAAACAAGGTTAAAAATTTTCATAAATTGAAAATTTCCAACTAAATATATGATTTAACTTCTTTTTTATTAGTTCATCACAGAGCTATCAAAACCATTGTCATTGACTTGCCATGATTTTTCTTTTTTCGATGATAAATAACTTGATAATCGTTTAAATGTGCTACTAAAAACATTGGAATTCCGTTGTTGAGAAATAGATTTTAAGTAAGTAGAATGATCAACCTTGGTTTCTGGATTGAATGTTTCGAATGATCCCTCGGGGAATAAAGATCCTGTAAACTCATTTGCTGAAGAACACGCGATAGAAAATGACAAATCTTTGGATTTATTTTTTTTGTTATTTATACTATTTTCAATTTTTTCATTTTCCATTGATATATTTGAAACCATGCCGCTTGTAGTTACTTCGTCGAAAAACTCGTCGGTGGTACTACTTATGCTACTAGCAGTTACGTCATTGTTACAAATTAAAAAATCATTTTCACTATTGTACATTCCATCTATAGTATTATTTTTTTGGTCAATACCGTTTTCCGTAGCATGTTGAGTTTCAAGATGGGTTTTCGGGATATCCGGCATCAGGTAATTGTTTGATTCTGAACATTGTCGACCTTTAAAATCATTACCGATGTTATTTGAAATATCTTCATACAAGCCATTTTCTTCAAAGTTTTCATCATTACAGTTGCTGGAATGCGAAATATTCTCAATAACGTCCGTTTTACCTGAATACGTACAATTTTTGTCCATTTCAAGATCAGTTTTGTTGTGGAGTGAATGTGTTTTTAATAAACTATCACTTAAATTTTCTGAATTATTTGTTGGTTCTATTAATGATTCATGGGCATTGCCTTCAAAGTTATCACTTATTTTGTTACAAACATCATCTATTTGGACATTATTGGAAGGTGGGTGGATGTTATTTGAATTACTTTTATGATGAAGCTCGTTGATGTCAGGCAGCAAGTTTGTTCGTTGTCCCATACTAAAGTTTTCAAATTCTTTCCCAATTTTCGAATCAGAAAAACTAAAACAACGAAGGTTATTATGGGAAGAAATATTCAAACCATTACACTGAGTATCGGCAGATCTTTTCTTCGACATTGGGAAAAATATTTTAAAATGCCTAACTAGGGTTTCAAGAGATCTCGACACTGAACGCTTTTCAATGTGATCGTCATTTTTAGACATATTTTCAGCATTCAGTTTTTGTTTTTTATTAGTGGAATTTTCGTTACTGTGGTTATACGGTTTTAAACGGCTAGTAGCTTCTTGAGATGCAAAGTCATTTCCTGACGAAACAAAATAATCATAATTGCCATTTTCGCAATCATCAAAAACGTATTGACTGAAATCGCCTCTTTCAAAATTATCTATATCATCATCGTTATCATAAATTATGTTGCTATTTCGTAACTCATAATTGTCTTCATAGCTTCCAATACCAACGTCATTGTTTAAAACATCATCTTCCATTACTAATTTCACAGGTTCTTTGCTGTTTTCTTCAATGTCATAACTAAATTTTTTAATTTAAATACAGTTTTTAAAGTTAGGTTTATAAACTGCCGTAAAAATTGCTAACAAAAATTAAATCTTCACTTACCTGTAAATTAAATAGTGACTATCCCAGTGTGTATACGTCAACTTTGTTTACTATTTTTGTGCTTACAATGATTAAATAAACGTTAATTTATTGGTAAGGCAACGCTCTTTTGTTTAGCTTACCATATTCATTTGCTGAATTTTTCAATATAAGCAGCACTGTATTATTAACCGAATAAACTGCGTCTGCTGAAGCAATGTTATCAATTTAGATATAGATACTCTATATTTTATTAGTTTATTATTTAATACAAGTCAAAAAACTCACAAATAAAAAATTTATTTCATTTAAATATTTTTTGAAAAATTATAAAATCATAAATAAAATAATATTTAATTATTAAATAGATGTAAAATGTTTTTTGATTACAGTTTCAAAAAATTAGGTATTCAATAGATTGTTTGCAATGAATAAAAATAAAGCTAATTTGAATTCGTTTTTATTTCACAAATACCAGAAATTTGTTTAAATAAACAGATCGTTGTATTTGCTTCGTTTAGTTCTTAAAATTAATTAAGGCTCCTAGGGGTGGAGAATAGAAGTGTTTATAATTAATTAGTCCGCCTCTTTATATTATCTGTAAACAAATGGGTTATAAATAATCGGTATATATTTAAACACTTTAATTTATTTTATAAGCATTGCATTTGAGACTAAATTCAAAAAGTACTTTTAAATAATTCATAAGTTAAGCACAGTTGGTACATTTTGTCATTTGAAAAATTATCCTAGTTTTCGTTTTACAACAAGCATAATCGCAAATATTTTTGAATAACATTGTTCCAAGCACGCTATTGCAAACTGAAAAAATGTCACAGTTTGATAGTCTTCATGTTACAAGTTAATTATATTTGAAAATTATGTAGAAATATATAATTTAGGAACCGAATAAAGGTACGCAGTTTCCTATAAATACGCACTTACCTAGGAATACGCAGTTTCTCAGGAACCATTGTAGTATTGAAATTTGGAAGCAGATATTTTCTTGTCGGCAAGAAATCATTGGCAAAACATTTGTTTCGATAGTTCGTGAATGGTCAAAAAATATATTCAGCGTCTTTGCAACATAATAATATTCAACTATAATGATCAGTCTCCGCTAAAATTGTCTTTAAAAACAATTTTCAATAAAACTGTGAGCCTTTAAAAACATTTGTTAAAATGTTTATCTAATTTTGTTGTTGTTTATAATTGAATGAATAATTTTTAAAATTAGACTCAAGGCTGATAAGATTTGACACCTGGAAAATTTTTTCACAAACTGAATTGATAACGAAAACATTATAATAATATTATATAATATAATAATAACAATAACATAGCAACTCATAAAACGTTTTGGGATCAATCATCTCAATGACTCTTGGGACTAGTGTTTTTTTATATATAATTTTCTCTTTACAAAGTTTTTAAAATAAGAAATGGATAAATATTGACTAACATCTGAAAAACTCTTCTCTACAAATGGTGCCACATGCCAAAAAACCACGGCTGGCTAGCATATCAAACGTTAGCTATTTAAAAAATTGATGTGTGACACAGATATAAAATAGATATGACAAGATAATATGTTGAATATTTGGCAAAAAATTTTTAGTTTGAATTTTTTTTTTAATTAAAAATTTTTTAAAACAAATAAATCAAGTAAAATTTTTATTTAAATTAAATAATAAGTATATTAGTGCAATTTTTATATTATCCTTTTTTCCTTATTCAAAATTTTATAAATATAACAAGAACGGGTGACGTCTTTTTGCTTCCAGCAAAAAAAATGTCACAAAAAAAATAAAAAAAAAAGTAAAATTTACGCTGGAATAAATTATAGTTTCTTAAAATAAACTCAAGTACTTTTAATGGTGACGTTTTTGGTTCAATTAATTCAGACAATGCAAGCAATTCATCTAATAATTCCAAGCCATCAATATCTACAGAAGTATCTGTGATAAATATTTTTTGAAGATTTGAACATTTTTTCTAAGACTTTCTCTTCTAATATTTGCAATATCGTACAGGAATTGAAAAGCATCACAGTGTTTATTTAACTGGTTGAATCTTTTTTAATCGAATTTAGAGCACTATCCATTCTATATTAAATCTATCTTTTGGATTTATAATGGGAGTTTCATAAAAAACATTTGTTTTTTAAACCTTGGTCTAATAGAAATGATGGCTCTAAATCTAATTCAGCTGTAATTAATTCTGCATCAAAATTAACTTTCTCAAAAGCTACATCTGAGCGACATAACTTTTAGAAGTTAACAGCTTTGTTCAAAATTTGTTGGCTTAAGAAATGTCAATTTCAATATTCTGAATAACTTTGCTTGTTAGGTTTACTAGGTTCAAAATATTTAACCATATCACAGTACAGAAGATAGGTCATAAGAAATGTCCTGGTTGATTTCAAGAAGAGCATTAAAGATTTTTTTCCGCACAATATCGAAAATGGTCGCACATCTTCAATCCTGTTTTTCCATTTTGTTGCACTCAAAGGTTTTGGAAAGATTTTTTTTCTAAGATGATTTTTCAAAACTGTCCATCTACGAGATGATCCACGAAGAAAGTTATGAATGGCTTCCACCATTCCAAAATAAGCCGCAGCCTTTCTAGATAATTTTGCAGCATCATTAACTACCAAATTTAATGAATGAGCATGACATGGCACAAAAAAGGCTCTGCTGTTCTTTTTTAATATTCTTTTCTGCACTCCTGACTGATTCCTTCTCATATTCGCACCGTTGTCGTAGTCCTATCCACGCATATCTTCAATTGGAATCCCAGTTTGAGTAAACATTTGTGGAATGACGTCTGAAGATAATTATTAAAAGACATTGTTACATATTAATAATTGTGATCATAAACTGTGAAAACAAATAATGTGTTCTGGTAGTCATTTTTTGTATTGCGTTTACGCTAACTTTTGACGATGCAAATATCAGACGGGTCGTCTGATTTTGTTCAGATTTGACAGACGTAATAATTAGATCATGTCTGCCATATCGATTGGAAAAATAATTATATTACGTTAATTTCTTGTCGATGACCGAGGAGGCTAGGAAAGTGCCGCCTGAGACAGCTGTTTCTCTTGTCGGCTCTATATAAAGAATTTGCCAAAGCTGCATTAAAACTCATGCATACCAATTTTTAAAAAAAGTGGACTAACACTGCCACGCTCGAGAACATTGAACAAGTAAAATTTTGTTAATAGTGATATTCTGTAAACTAATATTGCTATATAAAGAAATACGTACTGCAAATGAAATATTGCAAATGCTCTTTAATCCTTGATTCGATATCAACAAAGCCTCAAATAGGAAAATTGGTAGGTTTTTTAAAATATATTTTGTTTGTAAAATTGTGAGTTTAAAATATAGCATATTTTGGTAGCATATGCTAGTTTATTCCTTGTGTATTTTATTTATTTCTTGATTTTTTTTTGTTTCCCATTTCACCATAAACATTTGTTTTCAATTTATTTAATTTTATTGATGTTAAATGTTAAGCATAAATTATCAAACGCATTGTTTATTTGTGAAGATGACTTTATTGGATATGTTAACTATGGAGATGGGAATGAGGACATAGTTGCTTCAGAGATGTTGATTTTTTATGTTGTTAGTCTGAGAGAAGCTTGGAGGCATTCAAAAGCTTATTTTTATACAAATAAGTTATTATCTCACAAGTTGAAAGATTTTATAGAGAAAGCCATTGATAAGTTACATAATGCTGGAGTTAGGGTAAACAACATTTGTTTTTCTTAAAGATATGTTAAAATTTTTATACATTATATTTATTTTTTAGGGTTGTTTCACTGGTAATGGATGGGTTGGCTACTAATGTTTCGGCATGTGGATTGCTTGGATGCTCTTTCACATTTCCAAACATGCAAACAAGTTTCTTGTCCGCAACAACTGGCCAGAAAATATATATCATATTTGATGCATGCCACATGCTGAAATTAGTGAGGAATATTTTCATTCTTATATGTTATTTTATAATAATAATCCAATCAAATGGAATCATATCGTAAACTTAGTTAATTATCAGCAACAAATCAAAATGAAACTAAAAAATAAATTAACCAAAAATCGTGTAAATTTTGAAAAGCATAAGATGAAAGTTAAATATGCATCTTGAGTCTTTAGTTGCCCTGCGGCTAAATCATTGGAACTCTTAGACGGATTTTATGTTTTTTTCTGACGTTTCTGAAACAATAGCTTTTGTGAAAAACATCAATGATTTTTTCCATATATTGAACAGCAAACTGATACTGGATAGAGAATGGAAGCAATACATTACAAAGAGCAACCTGACAGCCACTATAGATAAACTTTATGAAATGAAAGCCTACTTACTAAGTTTGAAAAATTTAGATGGTGTTACATTTACAAAACTCAAGGTTTTTTTTTATATATCTCAATATCTAAACTAAAACTTAATTACAAATAATTTCAGAAAAATGGCTTGGACAATTGACATATCCCTCAAAAGGTGTATTAAAAGTAAAATGATACATTTATTTATTTTCTGGTAAAAACAATAAATTTTAATGATTTTCAGATCTGCCAAGAATCAGAAAGATTATTGTTTTAAGAAAAAACTTGTAATTGAAAGCAACATACTCCCACAATGTGTCAACGAAGATTTATTTAACATGGAAAATCATTTCAATGATGTACAGAATGCAAACCACTATTATGAATTAATAAAAAAAATCATCATATACAACATTAAGATGTTTTAACTTAACTAAAGGGTTTTCTATCAACATGCAGTTTTAATAAAAGTAAATTAAATAATAAGATGCAACGAAAATTATACTATTTAAATTTATTAAATCAATTGTTTTATTAAATTTGTACAGTGCTTCTAATAGATTACATCAGAAGCAAATTCTACAACCTTAGTTTTATCTTTTTATAGTTGAAAGATAAATTTATAATTATGTAAATCAAACATTTTGCAGTTATACAACAAATAAACAAAACCGAAATCCAGAAATAAAAAAAGTAAGACTGATCTAACTACGAGTTAAGTTAATTACTAATTATAGCAAGATAGATGTTTTATAATCAACAAGCAAGAAATATAACAATTTACACATAAATATAAAAATATACATGTTCATGATCTAGCACCTTCAGGGTTATTTTATAAATAGTAATGTTAAACTAAAAATTATTAAACATTCCATACCTATTCTATTAAAAATTAACAGTTTTATAAAATTTAATTAAATCAATAGCATAATGAATTTCATGTTAGCTTAATATTAATTAAACTATTATTTTTTTAATATATTAATGTCAATTACAGTTGAAATAGTTAAGTTAAAGAATTTGATTTCAACAAATTATTTTATAATTAATTTAATATATTAATAAATTATATATAAATCATAGCATTTAAAGTTAAAACAGAAAAAAAAGATTGTTTGCTTTTACTACCAAAAGAAATTTTAAAAACCTCCTCTGTGTGATTAAATTTGGTTTGGGTATGTTATGTTGAAAGCAAATATTCCTTTGTATTGTAAGCTTTGGTGTTTTGAAAGATTCTAGTTTAGGATATATGCACAGGAATTACACCTTAATTTAAAAATTGTTAGTTGATTAATTTATTTATAACAATATAAATTGTTCATGAGTTATTTTTTTTAAATATTAATAACATTTCATTTTTACAATAAAATTTTTACCCACTTCTTTTCGTTTTCTAGATTCTAATTTAATTTAGGAATGATTCTTACTCTAAATGTCTAATCATCCTGATTCGTGGGTACTGGGAAAATGAATGAAGAAATCTTTATTTCAGAAAAATGAGGATCGCTAACGCTTCGATTTTTCCGATGCATCAAAAAAATAGCAATATCCATTTAATTTAACGATTAAATACGGCACATTATAAAACCTAAAACTTCACGGAATGTTGAAAACGAAATAAATTTTAACAAACGAGC